TATATATATATATATATATATATATATATATATATATATATATATATATATATATATATATATATATATATATATAATTTTAGTTTGCATAATCAGCCAGATGTTTAGACTGGATTATTATTTTTTCAGCAGTATTTAACCGTTAGACACAATTGCCTACATCCAGTAAATGCATAACAAAAATAATAATACAATAATTACTAATAATAGATCATTTTTTGAACATTTAAAGCAGCACTATGAATGCTGAGCTACCCACTAAATGGAAGAAATGGTAGAGTTTTACAACCTACAGACTTTTATTACTAAAATTTATTTTCAAACCAGCTATCATCATTTTCAAAAATGTGGTCCTTTTTTCTTCACGTGCTTATACTACTTATTTTTTTTTAAAAAAAAATATAAAAATAAGTAGTATGAGCATGTGAAGAAAAAAAGCACTCCCCCACCCCGCCAGATGTAGCCAAGACCAGGAAAACTTTATTACATGTTTCTCCCCACAATACAAAATGGCCTAGAGATATGTTCGTGCTCGTAGAATCTGTTTTTTTTAAGCAAATATGAACTACTGAGTAATAATCTTTTTGGTGCTTGATTTGACCCTTCCACCATGCTATTTAAAAAAAACCCTCTATTTTTCCATCACTGCCTGTAGCTATTCACACAACACAGAGAACAACAAAAGGACTAGCAACAAGGAAATACATTAAAGTTTATGTAATAGAAACTGAGTTGTGATTATTACACTTTTCTCTCTTCTTACTAGGAATGTGATCTTTGTCTTTTGCCTCTGTTGTCTCAGGTTTCCCCTGCTCCTTGCGCTCTTTTTTTCCTTTGTGTTTACATTTCTTTTCTTTACCACCCTCCTGCCTCAGGCTGTCAGTCTTGTTTTCTCCCACGACAGTCTCAGCAGCCATGCTTTTTCTCACTTCTTCATCTTCAGCCTTTATGTCAGTGATGCCTTCTTTCTCTGGATCTTTTTCCAGGTAAATTAAGAATCAAGTTATTTAAAGGTAACCAAAGCCAAGTACTAAGACAACAATAATAGTTATAAAAAAAAACCAACTGGTTTTTATATTAAATTAAGAAGACTTTAACATATTACACAATTTAAAGAAAGAAAATCAAATAAAACTAAAACATGCATGAAACATACTGAAACCTTGCACGCTTGAAGCCCTTATTTTATTTATTTAAACTCTACTGCTGAAAACTGATGGCATCCCTCAGCAGGCATCCCTTTGGGGGTAGGATACAGATAGTCCTCAACTTATCACAACTGAGCCCAAAAATTATGCTGCTAAGTGAGACATTTGTTGAGTTCTACCCCAATTTATGATCTTTCTTGCCACAGTTGTTAAGTGAATCATTGCAAATTGTTAAGTTAGTAACACAATTGTTAAGTGAGTCTGGTTTCCCCCTTGACTTTGCTTATCAGAAGGTCACAAAAGATGATCACATGATCCCGGGACACTGCAACCATCATAAATATGAGTCAGTTGCCAAGCGTCGGAATTTTGATTACATGACCATGGGGATGCTGCAATGGTCTTGTGAAAAATAGTCATAAGTCACTTTTTTTCAATGATGTTGTAACTTTGAACATCACTAAATGAACTGTTGTAAGTTGAGGACTACCTGCATAGTGCAAATCCTATAATTTAGCAGGGATTAGTGACAACCTTCTGACTTTCCTACCAATACAGAAAAGATTCTATCTTAGATACGTACCAAACTAACTTCTGTGGAATTAAGTAGACCACACTCAGATTAATATTCAGGAAGATATTCTTTAATGCTAGGAAATGGGAGTGGGAAATAAAGTGCGAATCAGCAGTAATTGGTATCTAAAGACCACACCATCCAACAATCTGGACACTACATTTTGTTCTACCTAAGTTTTCCACCACTTTTCAAGGGCAGGACACTTTAACTATGTTTTTACTCCATCTTGTAGTGCCAATCATAAAGAGAGTCAAAAAACCCAGCAACACTTCTAAGTAATTAGCTAACAAATAAAAGATATTACATTACTTCATCAATGTCTTAAAGACTTTTGCCTAAATCATTTTCAGTAATTTATAGTCTGGCAATATTTATTTAATAGGCACATAAAAAGCAAAGCTAGCTGTTTGGGATGCTGAAGCAACACCAAATCCTCCTGATGGAAGTATCATTTTAAAAGGTTACAAAAACTTTGCACGGTTGAGATCTGCAGAGAATATCCACTGCTTTTGTCATTCTTGCATGTCCAGTATATGTTCGGTAGGAAAACAATCAGGTGAGAATGCAATAAAATGAAAATTTCTTTGAAAAGGAAAAACAGTGCTGTCTCTTTCTATCTGATCCTAATGTGTATAAAGACTGGGAAAATACTAAGGAGAAAGGTTTCAATGTTTGCAGGGAGGATTAGCTCTCTGCTGGTCTAGAAGTATCTTTCATCTGCGAAGAATTGGATGCAAATAGCCCGGAGGGTCTGCCGAAGTACAGCATAAGAGTGATGAGCAGAATGGCCATATGAAGAACAAATATTGTCTCACCTGTTCTGTGATACAGCAGCTCCCAAAATGCTTGTGCATTTTTCCAGGCGCTGAAATAATGTCAGGTTTTTCTTAATTAAAATATACTCATTACGTTTAGCTGAGAGCAGGAACAGAGTTTTATGCATGGGATGTAAATGAGCTCAAGGCTATTCTTGGACATCTCAGTGGACTGAAAAAGTACTGTGATTATTTGATAGAGAGATAGTTGGATTGCATCTCTGTCAAGGAGTTTACAGCCAGACCATCCATCTACCTGAACAGCTGTCCTCCCATCTGTTCATGACAAGAATGGCAACTTTAACAGGACTAGAGTAACTGTGCTGCAAAAATATGCATGGTTATTAAACGGAAGCAAAGATAGATAGAAAACCCTAAACTGCTGCTACAGTTCAGATGCAGTAGTCCTTAATTTATCAGATTCTTAACTTCATAATTTTTCCTTTCTCTTCTTGTTTTTTCCTTCTATGTCAGGTCTTTTATTATCAACTAAAATAATTATTTGATCTTAATAATATTACTCACGTGGATTTTTTAAAGGAAACATTTTTATTGGGGCTTTTTAAAAAAATATAATATCCTATCCAAAGATCATTTCTGCACAGGATGAAAAATTGTCACATATCAGTCTGTTTGCATGTTTTATATTACCTTTTGCTGCTAAGAAATCCAGAAATGTCTTATTTACAAATTGTTTCTATGCAACTCCTTGGAGGAAATGCCTAACCTTTGAAGCTGCTTTCAGCACAGCCCTTTGTTGCAAGCCTACTCTTTGCCCCCACCGTGTTGTGTTTTAGGAAAGCCATTAAAACCTGGCTTTAAAAAAAGTCTTGGGAGAAGATGTAGTGTTAGGTTAGATTAGAATCTCCACCCTGAATTGCGTTTGGATGTTTTTGTTTCAGGTGGCCTCACTCTCTTCTATAAAAGTAATAGTAGAATTAGTAGAAGTTGTTGTAGGTAACTTATACAAAACTTGATTTCATGGTAGTTGTTGAAAGCATAGAGACAGTAGATCTTCTCATGTATGTTTTATGTTCTACTTGTGATTGCATATTTGTTATATTGTGTTTATGCTATAAGGGGCGCAGGTTCAAGCTGAAGTCAAGTGGCATCTAATTTGAAATAAATTTTAAAAACTGCCATGCAGTTGTTTTCAGTACTAGGTTTAATGCCAAGACATGAACTATAAATAGCCAGCCTGTCAGTCGAGCTAATGTAGCTCCTATGTTGAAAATGTGTGGAAATTTTGGCTCATCTCTGAGGTATGGGGGAAATGTCAGAAGATTCTTAAGATGCTGAAATTTCTGTTGCTGGCTAGCCTGGTACCAGTCGAGTTAAGATCAAAGTCATGTTCACTAATTCAGCATTTGTCACAACAGTCCATAATGGTGAACTATTTCCAAACAAATCAAAAGGAAAAGCATGATTTGCAAGCTCCTTGTTTATTTCAGCAGAATTTAGAAAGATTTGAGATAGAAGACTGACTCATTATCCAGCAGCCACTCAAGAGTTCAAAGCCACCTGCAAATATTCCCAGTACATGCCTGCATCTAATCTTTTTTATGACTTCCAGAAATGAAGGCAAGTGTGCATTCACTTCTTAATGAGTCAATGGCTCAAAATATTTCTGAACATCAGTTTTCCGCACAACTCACCACTGGCAGTTGTTGCTTCCTTAGCCTTCCCAAACCAATAAGATCGCTGCAAAGGGAAATTCCAAGACCGAGGAATTCCATAGTCTCCTGAAATAAAAACAGGTTGGTTGGTTGCAGAAGCTCCTTTCCATTTTGCTAGAGGGAGAACTCAGCAATGCAAATCATACAGTTAAATAATTATTTGGTGTGTCAGTAGCATCAAACAGTGCTCACATTACAAGTTCCAACAAAACATTCCCATTCCCAAAGTACTCCCAGAACCCAAGACCAATTGCAGTCCCTGAGGGGTGCTTCCTCCCCCCGTAAGAAGGAGGGAAGAATACAGGCGTTTAAATGTGGTTCAAGATTATATTTATTTCTGAAATGCATACTCTAATTAAAAATTAGAGCCATGACGTCTTTAATAAATAGGATCTAAATTCCAGAAACCCTAAGGCAAACTGTGGAATAAGGACTTCCCAGTTCACTTGATTAGTTTTTGCCTCCTGATGTCCTTTAGATCAGAGGTCCCCAACCTTTTGGGCACCAGGGACCACTTCCGTGGAGAGAGGTTTTTCCACGGACCGGAGGGGGCGTGGTTTTGTGTGCTGCCTGCATCTCATGGATGGAGCTTTGCTTCTTTGTGCGGACCAGTTGCTGGTATGCCGCAGCCTGATACCAGTCCATGGACCAGGGGTTGGGGACCCCTGCTTTAGACGTCACGAATTTGTAATTCTTCAGCCAGTACAGGGAGTCCTTAACTTATTACCACAATTGAGCCCCAAATTTCTGTTGCTGATTTCCGTTGTTAATTTTGTCCTGTTTTATGACCTTTCTTGCCCCCGTTGTTAATTTAGTAACATGACTCTTACATAATTCTGCCTTCTCCATTGACTTGCTTGTCAGAAGGTTGAAAAAGGTGATCACATGACCCCAGGACACTACTACCAGCATAATTCGGTTGCCAAATGCCTGAATTTTGATCGCCCGACCATGCGACAATGGTTGTAAGTGTGAAAAAAGATCATAGGTCCCTTTTTCGAGTGTCGTTGTAACTTCAAATGGTCACTAAACAAACTGTTGTAAGTTAATGACTACCTGTACTACTAATATCAGTAAGATACAGTTGGAAGAAGTCAGCTGCAGAGAGTGCTTCAGTTGGAACAGATTCCATGGGGTAGCCATAATAATTGTGGCAAAACATCATGGATATTTATGGGTAAATAAACTAATGCATTAATTTTAATACCTCCCAAGAATTTTTCTTCTTTAGGGAAGGAAGTTATTTGGAGTTTAGAGGACCTGTGGGGGATTAGGATAGAGAAACTTTTCCAACTTCGAATTTTAATTCAGGGGCTCATGAAACTTGAGTCACCTCTTCTTTCAGGATAGCACTTTAAGTTACTGAAGCTTATATCTGGTAATGGTGATCTTCTTCAATAGCTCTACAGAAGAACGTTCTCTTGCTGCTTTTACCACAAAGACAAACAAGAGTTTATTCAACTGTGACAGACTGCATGTTTTTTTAAAAAACACTTTTTTTTCCTTTTTTACCTGTGATTCAGAAACCACCCAATGCTGGTCTTGGAAAACTGCCTAAGCTGAAAGTGAATGCGAAGGTGTGAGCTTTCATTCTACAGATAAGATCTTTTGTAGGTCTTTGTTTTGGCTCTACAACTCGTATAATATGTGACCAGACTAGTTTCTTTAACTATGGGGAAATCCAAATTTCTGTTCTTCAAAGAGACATCTTTAAGCATTGATTTAAATAGAAAGACAAGATACAAGTTGAATAGGTAAATAAAGTATGTATAAGTACATTGGCTAGTATACGAGTGATCCCTGCAGCTACTCATATGCTCTTTTGCACAACATGAAAAGAATAATTATCAGGAGAGAGATCACACCTCAAAAGGACCTCATTACTTCCCATAGAGGCTTCAAACTGTCTAGCCACCACTCTTTTTTGATCAGTCCCTGTTCCTTTGGTTCATTAATACATTTGTATTAATGTTTCAAGGAATCTCCTACATTGTACTATAATCCTCTTTTTGAGAGGTGATAGTTTGCCAACTGAACGTTGTTTAATTGCCAATGCCTCGATGGTTTTAAAAAAGTCTACTGTGAGGTTTACATAGATTCTTTAAATTGAAAGCGCAGGTCAAACCCACCAAATGTAGGAGATACTTCTCTTTTTGTCAGTAACTACTGTAAAAGAGAAACAAGATTCATTTCACACAAATGAATCTATTTTGAAAGGTTCTTCATCTTCTGGAAGACAAGATAATCAAACTTTTGTCTAATTGGGCAATGAATAAATGGCTGCCTTGCATTTCTAGGCCTGTGTGTTTTGTCAAGTGGCTCAAGGACCGTTGTATTACAACTTTCCTCCATGTACTGGATTGTCCATGCTGCCTAAGATTAGTGGAAATTATAATCCAATACATACTGTACAGAGGACATGAGATTTAGATAAGGCTTTACCATAACATCAGAGAACAAGATATTTTGCAATAAAATGCTATAAAAAACTTGATGAATTGCTTGTTGCTAACACAAACTTTAAGCCCTAGCATTTGCCAATATGAGTTTAAACATTTCAATTAGTATCATATCTGTAAGTGTATAACGCAGATCTTTTATCCCAAAATACAGTATAAGCATAATGGATTAGATTCAAAGATGTCGGTCCCACTAGGGAAGGGAGGGGGGAGAGGAGGACAGGATCCTACTTCCTGTTACGGTCTTCAATGCTATATCTTATATCACGGGTGTCAAATTTGATTGCATCATCTGATGTATCGTGACATATCGCGATGTTTTTTGCCTTTGCATAGTCGGGGTGGGCGTGGCCTGGACGTGACGCATCTGGCCCACAGGACACCAGTTTGACACCCCTAAAGGAGCTATATTGTTCTCAAGGGTCCTCACTCTCTGAAGCAGCTTTTCACAAGAGGGGGAAAAATGTGCATTTAAAATGAAAGGCAGGCAAACCTTTTCCCATGAACAGAAGTTAGGATTTAAGGCTCTGACTAAACCTGAAATGTCAGAATAATTTCACTTTTGAAAATGTGAACTATCATATTTCTATGATTCTATATATTCTAGAACCCTTCTAGAGAACCCTACTGAAAATAGCCAAACCATGTTAGAGAAACATTCCTGACAGAATCTGAGAGAAAAGGGTGACTAGAGGAAAGAAGGAAAATAAGGAGAAGCCTATTGAATAAGCTGATATCTGTCACATAACTTTGCATTTACCTTTCTTGTATTTGAACAGACAAATTCTGAGACATGAGATATTTAGTCTTGTTGGTTCACCATTGTATTAGAGCGGCAGAGATAGAAAAAAATGCATATAATCAGGGCTTTTTTTCCTCATAGAACGCCCAGAACGGAGTTCCGGCACCTTTTTTGGATGAAACCTTGTAGGGTAGGCAAGGCGGGTTGTAGGACATGTGTGAGTTCCGGCACCTTTTTTTTTTTTTTAATAAAAAAAGCACTGCATATAATAGACCACATTGATGGCCATACCTGGGAAGACATTATCCAAGTACCAAGCAAGCCATCCATAGACAAAGCCATCAAAAACCATTATCTCCATAGACAACAAGAAACTGTATTTATCTCCTTCCAGTGGGCTACTTTGGATATTATTCCACTGTAATCCAAGTCCTTGTTCTTCATAGCGTGATAAATATTCTGTACCGAATCCAAAAGCCACAGGTGAAAGGAAGCTCTGGAAGAAAGAGACAAATTATCTGAGTTTATTACTAACCAGTCATCTTGACTACAGGAAGGTTATGACCATTTGTTCAGTGACCCGTTCAAAGTTACAGCAGAACTGAACAAATAGTACTGACAAAAGTCCTTAAGAGTTTCAATCATCAAAGCATCTTCATGGCCACATGGTTACAATCCAGGCACTGGGCACCTAGCTCACAATTAGGCCATCACAGCAAGCCATGACCACAAGTGTGATTTCTGAAATTTCCTGTCAGCTTTCCACAAGCAAATCAATGGGAAAGCCCCAGGATGCAGTTGGAAGTCATAATCATGTAAGATCCTCAGGTAGGTTACCACAGCAACCACGGCTGCCAAAGTTGCTGTCATTAGGCAATGCAGTCACGTGACGTTGCGCTTTACAATCGCATCGCTTAGCAATGAAAATTCCAGGTTTGTTACCCATAAACCAAATCCATTGGGAGCAAGCCTTAGCGAAAGAAAAGAAATCCTTACCACCATGATCTTAATCTTAAGAGGCAGCCAATCCTGCCAAATGAAGCAGAGGATGTGGGGCAGGTAGAGAGTAAAATAGATGACTCCACTGCAGGCAGCTGCCAGATTAGCCTTGGAGAAAAAGGTGCTGAGCAAAAAGCATTGCATGATGCTGGCGGTTGCGAAAGTTAACAGGAACAGAAAGAGAACTTGGGGGTTGCAGTACCGAAGCACTTTGCCATACTGTATAGAAAAGAAAAGAAAAATATTCTACTGCTTGACTTAGGACCCATATGAGATCAACGGTCTTCTGTTTATGATATTGGTACATTCATATTTGCCTATTAACTCTAAAGATCGAGCGTCCTTCAGGAACTCAAGATGGTTTACTCCAATTTCTCCATAACTCTGTAAGGCATGTTGGGTGAAAGATTGTGACTAATCCTAAAATCGCCATGGTTCAGAGTGGATGAACCATGTTCTAATCCAGTATCTCAAAGCCTGCTTCATCATACATGCAGCCAAATGGATTTCCTGTTTACAGAAAGTTGCATTCACACCATATGCTAACTCAAAATTTGATTAATTACAGTGTGGAATAAACTGATTAAACCATCATTGGCTGGATTTCCACAGCTTGCTAAGACACAAAACATAAAATGCCTTGGAGAGCCTTAGAAACCCAGCCAAAACTAAATTGAAAGAAGGACTATTATGAACAGTCTTCAGCAATTACCCTATACTGATTATTTGTAATAGCAGAACATACAACCTAATATATGGGAAACAGGCTAGCAATGACTGTCTGGAACAATCTAGCAGTGAATATGAGTTGTGGTTTGGGTAAAGGACAGTAAGGGCCTGTATGTGATGTTGGCCTAGAGTTTTAAGAATCCTGCTTGTGTTATGGATCTTGCTTGTCTACCATCCACACTGCTACAGGAAGGATCCATTCATGAGTTCCTTAGGCTCTTGTTTCAACTTACACTGCGGTGATAAGGATTTCCAAATTGTTATATCTGTGGATTGCATCCTAGGAATTTTAGGCCTATTTTAGAGTGAACTACTCTCTTTGGAATGCAAGCTGCAGAAAGATCTCAAGGGGGTAGCATTTTGAGAATAAAATCATGCTCTGGCCTGGATGCCACAGGGGCTACGTCAGAAGGGATTATTCTGGTAGCATTGTGCAATTTCTGAATTCATTTTGACTTCTGGTCTCTGAGGAAATAGGTTGAATGATGTGTGGGATGAATTTGCCATGTGTGCTGCAATCATGCCGCACCTGGCTGCTTCAGTAAACTAAGTTTGTGTGTGAGAGTGCAGTTAAATTTGGAAGACACTCAATGCCTCTTTGATGCCCTCTGCCTTGAAAGAGCATATTACCCTGGCAATGGTTATGCAAATTTTCATCACCTTTCAGATCAAGTTACTGAAGCCTGCGGTAGATGGAGCTACCTTTGAAGACCACCCAAATGGAGTAGAACACAGTAGTGATCTATGCCACTTAATATCTGTGGGTGCTACATTGGCTTTCATGTGGCTTGTGACTATAAAAGTGCTGTTTTTAACCTATAAAACCCTTTCTCACCTGGTGTTCCAGGCATCTTCAAGATAATTTTCTTTAGAAAAAAAAAAGACCTGTCTGGTTCACTCATTCTGAGGCTAGGGGAGGGCTACAACATCATGCCTTATTTGTGCCTGTATTGTGTAACAGCTTACCTCTGAGAATATGAAAGGCACCCTTCCTAATGGTTTTCTGGATGGTGGTTAAGAATGAGTTATTCACAGCTTTTATGTTTTGAGGACTGCTTATTGAATGCCAGGTTTGGGCGTGCTTATGTTTTATGCTTCACAGGTTTTATATTTTATGTTGAGATTTTTCCAAGTTAATAGAAATCCTTGAAGGAATTGATGGTATAGGACTACTATAAATAAATACATATTTATAAGATCTAGACCTTTTTATCACTGTAATTTGATCTGGGCACAAATGTTCTGTTTGTATATTAAATGTTTTTTGTTTTATCATTTTCTGCAACTACTGGATTTTATTGATTCACTCATAAACAACCAAGAGCGTGCTGGGTTTAGGCTAAGCTGATATTTCAAACTCGGCCACTGTGACGGCTTAGCATGATGCATGAAGCTACCAGCCCTTAGTTTTGCCACTACTTCCTCTTACCCACACATATCTGCAGTGCAACTTTACTTCTTGTCTTAAAGAGCTGTGGTGGCGCAATGGTTAGAATGCAGTAATGCAGGCTAACTCACTGCTCACTGCCAGGAGTTTGATCCTGACTGGCTCAAGGTTAACTCAGCCTTCCATCCTTCCAAGGTCAGTAAAGACCCAGATTGTTGGGAGGCAATATGCTGACTCTGTAAACTGCTTAGAGAGGGCTGTAAAGCACTATGGAGCGGTATATAAGTCTAAATGCTATTGCTGTTGCCAATCCCTGTAATATAGTGGTGTTTTAATTACAAATTCAGATGGGGATTGTCTGCCTGGATGTAAATGGTTTAAAATACAAGCAATATTGAAAGATCAGAATATACATTGAAAGCCAGCATACTATATGATAGACCAGATGGAATGGGAACACTGTTATTCCACCTTAAATTCAAGTACTAACACAAAGAAATTAAACAGCAAAGATATTCTTACTGAATGCTGGCCCTCTTCCACAACACTGTTTAAATATATTTATCCTTTAGAAGTATTAAAGAATCAGGCTTTCAGGGTTCTCTTTATCGTTATCAAACTGGGCGGATCTCAAAGCAACCTTTGGGTACTTACCATAAATGATACGAGGAAGCAGAAAAAACAATGTGAGAATTTAGGATAACTATCACCAATCTGATATCCCCCAGAGGTGTTGGGTTACAGTCCACAACTCCCATTAACCCCCTAAATCAGGGGTAGGCAATCTCGGCTCTTTTAGCTAACTCAGGAATTCTGGGAGTTGAAGTCCATGAGTCATAAAAGAACCGAGGTTGCCTACTCCTGCCCTAAATAAACGAACAAACGACTATATCTTGAGGCATAATTATGAGTGTGTCACAGATGGGGCAGTTTAAACATAAACCCAGAGTCTCCCTACTGAAGGACCATTTAAATAATAAGCCTTTGTGTCCCTCTCAGTTCCCCAAGTGATAATGTATTTAAATAAAGCAACTAATGGGTTGGGAGAAATGAGTTTGAAAGGCAAACGACAGGCTTGCCATCAGACTTTCCAAAGGCAGATGGAAGGAAGCCTCCCTTCCACCTGGCGATGCTTAGAACATGACCTGTCAATCACAAAGGCAAATGCGCCCCTGAATGATGATGAGGATGAGGATGACTTAAGGGGGCTTCTAAAAAGCATGCCTACTGCTACGTGTCAAGAAGAGGCCAGACTGCTAGCAGGCTCTCCTTCTTTTTTACGTATGGGTCTTATTGTTTCTTACTACACACTACTACTACTACTACTACTACTACTNCCCCCTCGTCCTTCTCTTCATTAAACTAGACATACCCAATTCCAGCAACAGTTCTTTATATGTTTTAGCCTCCAGTCCCCTAATCATCTTTGTTGCTCTTCTCTGTACTCTTTCTAGAGTCTCAGCATCTTTTTTACATTGAGGTGACCAAAACTGGATGCAGTATTCCAAGTGTGGCCTTACCAAGGCATTGTAAAGTGGTATTAACATTTCACGTGATCTTGATTCTATCCCTCTGTTAATGCAGCCCAGCACTGTGTTGGCTTTTTTGGCAGCTGCAGCACACTGCTGGCTCATATTTAAGTGATTGTCCACTAGGACTCCGAGATCCCTCTCACAGTTACTCCCATTGAGCCAGGTACCCCCTATACTATACCTGTACATGCGAAGGTAAAAGAGCATTGTAAACTCTGGACCTCAACTTTACAACAGCAAAAGCCGCGCCCCTCCTGCTCCTTTACCGTAATGAGAGCCGTCAGGAGAAATGTGCTCACGGTCATCATGAGGAAGCTGTCCAAAAACCACGTGAACCAAATCACCCCGTTGGTGACTCCTCTGTTCTTCAAGGCCTCCTTCAACCTCATTTCTTTCTCCAACACGATGTTTTTCACAGTCATGGAAGCAGAGTATATCCAAGCCAGCACCATTAAGATGGGAAAGGCACGCGTTAAAGTAATCATGAAGCTGCCAGACAAGAAAAAAAAAGGGTGGGGGGAACGTTGCTTTGAAAGGTAAAAGTTAAATATCTTAAGAGTTAAGTTACTCGTATTAGTATCTTTCTCTCCTGGAAGGATCAGATTGGTAGTTTGAGAACAGCTGGGAAGTGGATCAAAAGAAAACTCAGGAAAGTCCTGGGTAAATAAGGCACCCCAGAAGTCTTTGGAGAATTGCTATTTCCTGACAGGAACATCTAAGAAAGAGCACTCCAATGTTATCAAAGCCTTCCTCAGGTAGTTTTTGTCCAGATATGTTGGACTACAATTTCCAGAATTCCAAGTCAGTGTGGGAAAATGACAGTAGGGCTTCCTAAACAGTGGACGGTGTGTTTGGATGCATGTACCGCATCCATTCCTAGTCGTTTTTCTTTTATAAAGAATTTCTGCGTCTTAGCAGAGACAATTTTAGGAGCAGGGGGGAATTTGAAGAGCTCAGGCAAACATTTGGGGGAGCCAATTTTAAACCCTCTTAAAGAAGCTGACATGGGAGAAAGCCATCAGAACTGGTGAAAGGCTACCAGAACAGTGTTTCTCAAACTTGGAAAGATGTGTGAGAGTCTTCAGCTACACGTCTTAAAAGTTGCCAAGTTTGCCAAACGCTGCACCAGAACATCCTAGGCTGCATGCTAGGCTGAAAAAGAAAAAGAAAAAAATCCTGAAAAAGAGAAAAGAAACAATAGCAAGCCACTTGCATTGTTGAAAAGAAACATCATGGACATTACCTCAGTAGTCCCAAAAAATTGAGCTCAGTTTGAGGGAGGTATCATTTTTGAGCAAGGCTAAAAGAGCCACCAATGCAGTTGGGGAAAAAAAAGGTCTTCTGCAAAAAGAAAACAATTTGTCACTGTTGTGGAACTCCCTAAGGAACATGTTTTCCATTACATTAATGGAAAACATTAATGTTCTGATTCTGCGAGCTGACCAGGCTTTACTGTCAGAGTCCTATGCCTTTCTCAAAGGACACAATCACTAGGCCTCCGTGCCGATATAATCAATTCACCATATGGAGGGGGGGGGCAGCAATGGAAGAGAGACAAAAATAAATCACCTCATGTGTTTATTGGATTATCTCTATTTTGGCTATCCTGGGAGGAAGCTGTGGGGCAGCATTGTATTCAGAGTGAAAGATAAGATCATAGCAGGGATAGCATTAAGCAGAGACAAAGGGAACACCTTCGCTGTTAAGTCAGATGACTAAGAAATGGGGTATTCTGGAAAATAAACCAAAGTCATGTAATTCCTAGGAATTCGTTTTGCAAGAAAACGGTGCCCTGGTGAGATTTGTTCTGGAACTGTTTCTACAGCTGTATCTGGATTCCACTGAGTAAATCCCAGTGAGCTTAGTGGGGCTTCTTTCCAGATAGATGCCTGGGAAGGGGGCTAGGGTTGTTGCTTCAGAGATGCCTTAAACCAGGGGTAGGCAACCTTGGCTCTTTTATGACTCGTGGACGTCAACTCCCAGAATTCCTGAGCCAGCCATGCTGAGGGGAAAGGGAGAGGTTTCCAAGCTGAGACATTCTGGCTCAGGAATTCTGGGAGTTGAAGTCCACGAGTCATAAAAGAGTCAAGGTTGCCTACCCTTGCTTTAAACCATGTGAAACTAGGTTTCACAAAGAGAGGAAAGGACTTGTCAAACCATGAAACTGCCAATAGATGTGTCTCATAAATCATAACAAAACAGGCTTTCACATCGTGGGCTTAATCAGTGTATAAAACCCTGTTCCAAAATAGTTGGGAAATAGGTCTTGCCCGATCCCGCAGCTTTTGTCTAACATGTATCCTTCTATTCTGGCTGGAATTTTGGGAACTATAATCCCAATCCGGAAAGGAAGAGGAACGAGAACCAGAAGATTTCTGTTCCCCAGGATAGTAAGTCACCTCTTAAGAATAACATCTGGAACCTCCCCCCCTTTTTCCTCATCTTTATATTAAAACTGTTTTATATCGGGTCTAACTATGGAACGAGGGGAATTCTTCAGCACAGCAAAAAGTCAAGTTGTGTTATTATAACTAGAGCTCCAATTATACTACTACCATATACTTTTAAATAGATGAGGGTCTTAACATGAGAATTTACAACAGAAACTCTGTGAAGTAGGTTAGTCCTAGGTCATCCAGTAAGTTTCCATGGCTAGGGATGGATTCCTGAATTTCCCAGTCCTAATGCAATGCCTTAAGCACTCTCCCCCCCCCCCCCCCGGTGGAGCTTTTGCTGTATATTTCTCCTTTTCACGTAAGAATTTTGGCATTATTAGCATGGAGCAAAACCAATTAAAACAACTTTGAGATCTCTTCTTGGTATGTAGAAGAAGTGACCTGAGGATGATGATTGATGACAAATCAAAGGAATGTGATGCCTTGGGAGAGAACCAGATCTCTGCCTGGGTTTTACCCCTTGAACCTGATAAAATTCCATTCTCAGGACTGCTTATTGCTTGGAAATTTGAAGAAGCCATAGAATGCAACACTGCAAATTTTGTAAGACCCCAATTCACATTATTTATTTCTTCGTGTTTCTTGATACTTTAGAGCAGCATTCCTCGGGATAATATTCAATATAATGCAAGAAAAAATAAATAAATACAGGCAAAACAAAGCCATCCTGTATTTTCACAAGACTGAATCTCTGAGGTCAGATTTAAATTCCCATGTCCTTGGTTTCATTCTTAACACCTTAGTTTTGTTGTCCCAGATGTGGTAAAACTATACAGCCTCTCAGCTATTAACCAAACTCAGTGGCAATTCCATCATTTCTACACATTCTGAGAGCAGGAGGTTGGGTAAGGCTGCTTTATTTCCTGTGTTCAAATATGCTGGCCAAAAATTGAAAAACATCAAGATGCTGCCTCACTGGTTTGCAAAGGGGATTTGTAAAGCTCCGTGGCCTGTACTGCATTGCACTACATTGGGATGTAGAGAAAAGCCTTTGGCAAATGAACCATTTCAGCATATCCCAAATGTTAGCCAGAAACAGAGTAAAGGACTAGTTGAGCACAACTTTTGAAAAAGTTAATGAAAGGTGTGCCGGAAGAGATCAGTATTTTAACAATGGCCTCCGGTTACCTTTTAATTAGAGAGTCAGTTTGGTGTAGTGGTGAAGGTGTTGGCTAGAAACCAGGATTGTGAAGTCTAGGCCTCCCTTAGAACATGAAACCATCTGGGTGACTTTGGGTCATTCACTCTCTCCAGCCCAACCCATCTCACAGGGATGTTGTTGCTGTGAGGAAAAGAGCAGGCAACGGTGTTAGGTAAGTCTGCCACCTTGCATTGAGGAGGGATAAAAATCTTTATGGTTCAATGCACAGTCAACCAGATGTTCAGACTGGATTTGGCATTTTTATTCACCTATGGAGTCCTTATCAAGGATAGGGCGATGTTGTTGCTTGATGTTATTAAAGGCATCATTACAGGATGTCAGCTATTCCAAGTAAACCTTCCTTTTGCAATTGGTGGTGATGAGTGTTATTTCTATTATCATTTCTCTGAAGATAAATAAAGGGTCTTTATATTAAAAAAAAACATGAACTTGCTCGCATCCAGAGAATTGGTCCTGAAAAATTATCCACTTTTTATTGGAAGAGGGAATGATCAACTATCATCGTGGCATAAGTATGTATTGCATGAAAAACAACTTCTTTGTTTGTTTGTTCTAGCCTGACCTGAACCTTGCATCATTCAACATCACTGAATGATCCTTCATTCTAATGTTGTGGCAGAGAGTGACAAGCCTTTCAGCACACCTGTATTCTTTTTTCACTTTTGAAAATGAACTGAATGCTTTCCCTGATTACAAGAGTTCAGAAAAACAACTATACCTTTGCAACTTTTCCTCCATTCTCCTGTTGCCAATGAATTAATATTTATTTTTTGCAGTAAAGGTAGTATTAAACCAAAAGCCTTCTTATTGTTTTCTATTTTAAGTAGGTAGAGAGTTTGTTATGATAGTTATTTGTTCTAAATTCCTTATTTCAGATTTAACTAGGGCAGTGGTTCTCAACCTTTTTAATGCCGCGACCTCAACCGGTCGTAAGTCGAGGACTAAACCGGTTGTAAGTCGAGGACTAAACCGGTCGTAAGTTGACGTTCCCTGCCCGGGAGTGCCACGCATGCGTGGTTCCGCCCCCTGCGCTGGCCAAGGTGTAGCTGGCAAGCGGCAGAGACGGAGCAGGCTGACCACCAGCTGGCCCAGCCCAAGGGAGGTAAGGCACCTGCCGGAAAAGGGAAAAAAAATGGCGGACAAAAAAAAATGGACAAAAAAATGGCGGACAGCCTTGCTTGGTGACCCCCGTGAAATGGTCGATCGACCCCAAATGGGGTCCCGACCCACAGGTTGAGAACCACTGAACTAGAGTAACACAATTCTGATTCCTTACTTCATGTTCTAGAATCTCTAGCATCATCAAAAGCAAAAACAATGTCATTGTAAGACTCAGGGTGCCAACTGGCTAGCCACACAGTTTGGACACAGATCACACTCACACATCATCTACAAAGCAGGGATAGGGCATTTGTTGTAGGTATATCCCTGAAGGCACATCAGCACGGGTCTGAGTTTTGATGATCCCTTGCTCGATCATATCTTGCAGATAAGCAAACCCTCCCCAGATGTAGCGCAGATCATCCACTGGGTCAGCTCTTGGGCCAGGATCCCAGTACCTGTAGAGACAAAACACAGATTTAGCCTTTAAACTAGTGGGGATTATGACAGGGGTAAAAGTGTGAGTTATCAGACTCTGAGGGACAAACTATATATGTTAATGATTTGGTTGCCCCTCAGTTGCAGTATCTTTTCTTCCTTTCACAAAGGCCAAGAGTGGTCCAATCCTAGTTTTGATATTGTGGGAGAACCAAGAAATTTTAACTACTGGTATTTGCTTGGGCCGCAATCCCAATCTGGACTCTTAGACTCTTTCTACATTGCATTTGCAGAACAAGAGACAGGCAAGAAAAAGCTTTCTGAGCATCTAACTGATATCCCAAGTTTCCTGTTAGAACAGAGACTGAGCCAAGAGAGAATTGGCTTAAAGATCAGCTCCAAATGAGGTCCTTACATTGGTTGCCTGTGATAGAAAAAACATGTCTTTAAGGAAAAACTGTCAGATTAATGGAATTGTAATCCACTTCTTCTAGGTTGGATGTTTTTTCAATTTTCCAGTTTTGTCGACCATCTAAGGATTTCCCAATGGCCTCCCATCAGAATCTTAACCAGATCTCACCCTGCTTAGCTTTTGACAAAAATAGCCAAGCGCTATCATCTTTGACTCAGTTCAAGTAGACCTTATGGACTGAAAAGTTTAGAAGCAATGGTTTAGGTGCAGTTTTCTTTTATCACTTAATAATTGCAGAATCAGTCAGTGATCTGACAACTGAAGGGACTACCATGAATCAAGTCTCACGGGTGAAATCATCAGATCAGCTTTTATTGGAGGAATCTTGTGGCAACTTAAAGACTATAAATATACCCTGTGCTAAACTTTCCCAGAGCAATTTGCATGTCTAATTATATGCTCAAGAACTTTAAAGCTCAATTGTTTAAAAGTCAGATGGAAGCACTGAGAGTTCAGGTGAGTTTATTCCCAAGTAACCCCCATGCTTAGGGTTGAATCTGTGTTAGTTCTAATAAAAAGGCATTATGCTTTGTCATGGTATGTGTGCTTTCTCTCTCTTGGAGTAATTGTATATCCCCTCATGATAATATTTTACATTTACCAGCAGACCACTGTTTGAGATATTTTAAAGGTTACACTTTGGCCTGTTATGGATATATAACAGTCATCCATACATTTACCAGCCTTCTTTTCTGTAAATATGATAAATTGCAATTCTCATTAGACCCCTTTGATGACTGGGGACATCCAACAGATATGCAGGATGCCATGTTGGGAAAGCTACTCTTGGCAATTATGATTTATTTTGTCTCTCCAGTCACTGGTATCTCACTAGGCTCTGCTTGCATACCTAAAGATTAAAAACCATCCTTACCTATCTTTGATTTTGTTCGTTTTCTCCACAGCATCAATATCCATGCGTATCTTGTATTTCACATGAGGTGGCAGTTGACTGGCCCTTGCATCCACATCAAGAAAGACAACAGCAGCCCAGAATTTGTTTTCCTCCAGAAGAGAGCGAGCATGAAGAATCAAGTCAGTTTCATTAGCTAGGCCTTCAAACTTATCAAGGGTCAAGCACTGTGATAACAGAGGCATAAGAGATACTTGAATGAGATAATGGAAGCGTTGTACATGTATGTAAATCAGAATTTATATATGATTTGGACACCAATACAGGAAATTCTCTGTATACAACCACAACTGAGGCCAAACATTTCTGTTGCTAAGCAAGGCAGGTGTTAAGTGAGTTTGCCCCATTTTACAACTTTTCTTGCCACAGTTGTTAAGTGAATCACTGCAGTTGTTAAGTTAGTAAAACTATTGTTAAGGGAATTCTGACTTCTCCATTGATTTTGCTTGTCAGAAGGTTGCAAAAGGGGATCACATGACCCCGGGACACTTCAGCTGTCATAAATATGAGTCAGTTGCCAAGTGACTGAATTTTGACTACGTGCCCATGGGGATGCTGCAATGGTCATGTGAAAAACAACAATAAGCCCCTTTTTCAGTGCTGTTGTAACTTTGAATGACCACTAAATGAACTGTTGTAATTCAATGACAATCTGTAGTGTCGCTTAGTACAGAGATGGGCAGCATACACATTTAATGAATAAATAACAACTAACGGATAAACATGTTCCTGCCAAAGTCTGCAGAATTATGGTCACAACTAATCAGTGTATATGAATAAAGCCAGAGTGGTGGGTTTTGCAAAATAAGAGGAGTTTGCAAATTAAGCTGAGGTTTGCATTCGGATCAGTATTATATATTGAAAATAATTTGAAATTTGCATAGTCTGAGTGAATTAATCTTTCTATCCAGACTGACTATCCTTTTCCCTTAACTGTGAGACTTCAGAGCCATTAGTGAGGGAGTCAGATAATAACTAATCTATCCATTCAATTAACAGAATCTATTCTGCTGATTAGTGGGATGATCGGTAGGTTAATTGCCATAGTTCCCTTCTACAATGCTGTTTAAACATAGTATTTATACAGAAAAACTGTTGATCCCCTCCAGGAGTTCCCATTCCATGTTCCTTCATAGCACCAAGGGAAAATAAATCACTTTGAAACAGTTGTTATAGCAATGGATTTCTGCATGGGACAGGAATTAGAGTAGATTCCCTTCAAATCTCTCTTTGGACAATAAAAAGGTAAAATTAAAAAAAAAACTGGGGAGGCTTTCTAGTTGCTGAGGGGCATAAGAAAGTTAAATATTAATTCCAGCTGAATTTGACTGTTGATGACAACATGGACATTTTTTTTAACCACAATGCAGAAGTGACTTGCTACTGCCACCGCTTTCTTGTTCCTTTTGGTACAGCTTTCAAATCAATGTAGAATGTTTCTGTGTAATAAGAGTATGATGAAAAGATTTTTTTTTCAAGAAAAGTATTAATTCAGTGGAAAAAATATTTGGCTGGAAAACAAGTAAGTATGCTAAACCATTTAATACCTGTAATGCTTTAAATCAGGGGTCCCCAGCCTGTGGGCCGTGGCCCACTACCTGGCCGCGGCCTATTGGCCACCGGGCCATGTGAGTAGCTGATTGGTGCTCACATGTGCGCATGCGCACACAGCCCCACTCACGTGAGCATCACAGCAAGCATTGTGGGTATTCGTGGCCCTACTAAGGTGATTTTCGTCACCAACGCCGAAAGATTGGGGAACTCTGCTTTAAATCTACTGATGCACAGAATTTTATTGATTCCACTTTGATAACTTCCTGAATTAATATATAAATTGGAACAGAATCATCTCCAGAAGAGACTGTGCAGTTGCCTGAATTTTGCAATGCAGGTGTATTCAATGCAGTATAGTTGATAAGGTTCTGTATTAAATGTGAGTTTATTTGCTTCTTTAAATTAGACAAATGGTGCGGAAACTTGCCAGATCAGACTTACTTAACACAGGCAGAGCTGAGGTAGATCAGATTTATTTTCTCAGACTTTTCCTAATCTCATTCTCAGGTTAAACTGCATTATAAAATTGTAGTTGAAAGAGGAGAGACCAAAAGCTGTCATAAGCATATTCCACATCTAAGGTTTATAATAACTACCATCCTTTAGTGCAAGGACTGAATGGAGCGATTGTCTCTGGAAGATCAGTCATTAAAGAAGTGTCTCGACAGCCAGATAACAACCCCCAAAGAAAAACAAAGCTGAAACCATCTCAATAAATGAGGGTGGTGGGTAGGTGGAAAACTAATGTGAACCTATCACCTGGAAAACAAGCCTGGGAGAGCAAAACAAAATTAGCTCAAAGGAGGAGAAAGTGACTGGTCATAAACAGCAGGGAGAACACTGCATACATAGCTATGGGTAAATAATTGTGAGAAACTGGGCAGACTGGGAAACCCATTTTCCTCTTTGTTCACAGACCAACAAAACAAAGTTTAAAATATAGAAAACTCAAACCTAAAATAATTAAGAATAAGAAGAGGTAACAACCAACTTCTGTAAGGAATGGAAGAGAACAGACACAAGGAAGCAAGAGATAGGTGGCCTACAAAGAAGTCCAAATTATCTAAAGAGACCACATCTTAAGTTGCACACCATAAATGGGAATTGGCAAATCCCTCTTAGAGTTTCCAAAATTCTTCATTTACCTTAGACTAGCATTAAAGTTACCTGACTGAAATTGGTGTATATGTAATCCTCAATTTATGACCACAACTGAGCTCAAAATTTCGGTTGCAAAATAAGACGTTTGCGAAGTGAATTTTGTCCCATTTTATGACCTTTCTTGTCCCATTTGTTAAGTGTATCACTGCAGTTGATAAGTTAGTGACATGGTTGTTAAGTCAATATAGCTTCCCCATTGACTTTGCTTGTCAGAAGGTTGCAAAAGGTGATCAAAGGACCACACAACGCTGCAAACTTTCATAAAGATGAGTCAGTTGCCAGGAGTCTGAATTTTGATCCCATAACTATGGGGAAGCCGCAACGGTCGTAAGTGCAAAAAATGGTCATAAGTCCCTTTTTTCAGTGCCGTTGTAACTTTGAACAGTCACTAGATCAGGGGTAGTCAACCTTGGCTCTTTTATGACTCGTGGACTTCAACTCCCTGAATTCCTGAGCCAGCCATGCTGGCTCAGGAATTCTGGGAGTTGAAGTCCACGAGTCATAAAAGAGCCAAGGTTGACTACCCCTGCACTAGATGAACTGTCGAGAATTACCCGTGTAATTCTTTTTTTCCTTCATCTTGCCTAACTGTGGGCTTGACAATGATTTTGCTCAACTCTGAAATCTCCCCACTCATGGGGAATAAAAAAATCAGGCGTTAATGGGTGAAAATGAAGATTGAGATTACATAATTAATTTAAATATGAATATACGGAAATCAGAGAATCCGGACTGAACTGCACTGAATAAGTAAAGGCCTAAAGAAAACCAATGAAGATATACTATGATGCACTTTTTCTAATTACTTTAGGCCCAGCTTTTCCAATTGTGTTCTAGAGAAGCTTAGTGTTCTGCAAGAGACCAAGGGGGAGAAAGTTCTGTTGAATGCAACTAGGAGGGTATCCACGGTCCTTTTTCTAGAGTCCTGTTTCTTGACACTAGCCATTTTAAGAAATGTGGACTTCAAATCTCAGAGTGCCCCAACCACCATGGAATTCTGGGAATTGAAGTCCACCCATCTTTAAATGGCCACGGTTGAGAAACACTGTTCTAGAATGTAAGCAAAAAGGGCGGAGCTTGTTTTCCAGTGGGGAAAAAAAAAAATCTATAGCTGCTTTTTTCCAGATCAGGTTCTGGGGATTTATTTATTTATTTTTAACAAAATGTTCCATGACTTGAAAAAGTTTGAAAGCTCCTGCTCTAACAATTAACAATTCTTGCATCTCTGTAAAGAAGATGCACTTGGGGCTACTCAAGATTCAACTCATAAAGATTGCAGGGACAAATACTCTTCGCCCAGACTTATTGATAGTACCAACCTCTAGCTGCTCAATGGACATAGGGGTAGCCCTTGACTTACAACCATTCATTTAGTGACTGTTCAAAGATACAGTGTCACTGAAAAAAGTGACCTATGACTGTAAAGGCATTTTGGATTAAGATATGGTGGAATATTCAAAATATTTTTAAGAAAAAGATAAAGTTTATGCCGCAGATATTTCTGCTGGGTATTACGGAAGATTTGGATAAAAAAGAAATGGATTTGATGTTGAATTTGATAACTGCTGCAAGACTACTAGTAGCTCAATGTTGGAAAACGGAACATTTGCCCACTATAGAAGAATGGTCACTTAAAGTCTCAAATTTAGCAGAAATGGCCAAGATTTCCACTTATGTGAAGGATTATTCACAAGAAAGATATATTTTGGTTTGGAGAAGATGGATATTTATTTATTTATTTATTTATTAATTGCATTTATATCCCGCCCTTCTCCTTTCGGACTCAGGGCGGCTGACAGATGATAAAAAGCTAACATAAATACATATTACACCTAGTTAAAATTTAATTAAAACGAAATATTTGAGAGTGTCCAATTAAAAGTAATTAAAACCCCTATAAAATCCCCTAGGCCAGTCCCGCT